GCTTTAGACATCGGTTAATACTTTATCGTCACCGGATATCTCTGTCTATACATACAAGTGTCCGTACACTGTTCAACATTAGATCATATTCTTTACTTTTTATGGTATAGAGGGGAGGGGAGGGAGCAAACGATGGTTAGTGACTACCGCCGTCCATGGACACTTGCAGCTCAAAATTCACAAGTGCATTGAGGTCCTTTGATCCCTCGTGCCCTAGTATCAGTAGGTTAGGATCGGGCTTTGATAAGGTATCCATAATGAAGATTACTAGCTGGAGTTGACATAGATCAAAGGAGCTTAATATCCATAGAGCACCGCCGGTGGCCTGTGTTGTTCTATGTTAATATTCTTAAAAACCTTTACGCGTGTGCGTTACCCCAGCAAAATAATGTCGAAAATTTTCATTTAAACTTTATAGGTAATTAGTTGCTCCCCTTCTGTAATTGTTAGGCACATTTTTAAATTTGTTTCACTTAAACTTTTTTAGTTATTTCAAAAAAACATTTCCTGCTGGGGTAACGTTTGAAACGTTACCGCAGCCAGACATTTTCTTTTTTAATTATAATATTGAAATAAATTTTAGCTAGATAATTAGTTATCTGGACTAGGTAAATGTTACAACTTATTTGGTATTTGTATTTTCTTCGGCTGCGAAGTTATTCGAAATCCTGCTGGAGTAACGTTTGTGGGTTTGCTGGATCTCTGAAACGGGTAAGCGGATTGTAACCATCTTTTGTACATAACTTCTTAAGGATTAGTTTTAATTTGTTCGACAATAAAATAACAAAAATAATGGACCGTTTAAAAAATATTTAGGTAAGTATGAAAACACTTCAATACGTCCTAACACTTTAAATAAGACCTCTAAAGACTTACTTGAAACGTTATTCTATTGCTTGTAACTACCTTCAAATGTATACGAATTTTCGTAAGAATACTGTAAGTGACTAAAAAGTTATGATAAATTGTAGCTCTCCACGTTCACGATCACAATGTGTGCGGCCTTTTTTGGCCACCGATAAACCTGTGTGTAGATATATAAACTGAATGTTATGCCAATAATTAGTTGTTTAGTTCAGTTGTCTACCTGTAGAATTTCAGCGTCGTACATATAATAATTTACGAGATAATTAAATAAAAGTCATTAGAAGGTGCAAGTCCGTGGTAATCCGACCATGTTTAGGTGGTTACAAAAAAGCGATCACCCAGTACATTGCGCTGTCTTTTAAAATGTTTAGTGTAATACACCTTACGATTTCGGTACAGTTGCGTACAGTGTTAAATTCAATATTTATTCATTATTATTACCTATTATTGACGTGACAACGTCTTATAAATTGGTTTGCCGGGTGACACTTCAAGAAACTGCGTTACGCTCCGCTCACGTTATGCGCTCACAATGAAAGCGAGTGAGAGGCACGCGTCCCTTCCACTCGGGCATGGTTAGCCCGCCTAAGAGCGAGAGAGACAGACATAAATTACATATTATAAATACATTTGTATATAAATACGTATGTATGTGTAAAGGTAAAAATAAAATTTTGTTAATATGAAATTCAGTGCGAGATTCTTTGTATAAATTAATGTTTTAAATATAATTCTTTGTATAAATAAATGTTTTAAATTGTTACTATTATTTCATCCTTCTTCCTACTATACGAATGAATATTCACATTAAAATTATTTTACCACTCAAAGTCGTTGTCACGTAAAACTTTCGCCCGTATACCGACTTTACAGGCAACCAATTTTTTTTTTTTACGTTTAACGCAAAATTATTCTGATGTTTTATTCATAAATTCTCACGATTATCAATAATCTGCAATTTTACGTCTTTTTATTTTGTTTTTTTCCCTAATTGATCTTAAGCACTTGTTTCTTTACTTAAAATTTATTTAGTCTTTTTTACTACCGGAGCTACAATCAACAGAAAATCTGCACTGGTCCGCTAAAATTATAAATATGTAGATACATGTATGAACGATTCACCTGACTGCAATAAAACGAAAATTTAAACCAATAAGAAATCGTTTCATTTCTTTGATTTTTTTTTGTAAAGAAATAACACTAAAGTAATTGTATTTTATTTTGGGGTGTATAGAGCTTAGACTTGAATGCATCAAAATATTTAAAGCAACAAGTCATCTACAATAAGTTAAAATAGACCGAATAGTAGAAGAATACAGTTGTAAATTAGAATGCATCAACATTGCATCGCCCAACAGTCGTATACCTCGTAAGAGTAGGTAATATTGTTCTGTGGTCTATATTTAGAACCGAGAATTATCTATACCTATGTACCTACCGTTAAGCGTTGAGCCCGTGACTGTTGATTTCTGTTTCTGTTTTTGATATAATAACGGTAATTTAATTTATCGAGTGAAAGTGATACATTTTTGTAGATAAAATTATTGGTCAGATAATATTTGTCAATCAAGAATCGCTGATAACACATCCTTCGCTAGAACGCGGGAGGGGAGGGGCGAAGGGATACTTCATTGTTTGCCTTTTGCATCTAGTGCACTAAACTTGACCCTTAGGCAGATAATATACGTGTTGTAAAGTACGTGTGCGCTTCCGCTTCCTATTTTTGCAAATATTTATCGTATTCTTGAGAGTTCTTCAATATGTGTGTACCTAATTACTAATAATAGGCATTAATGCTAATTCGATTCAATTTAAGTAATTGTCAATTCTTGTCTTAGGATATTAATTACTAATGCTAATATTGAAATTTCGTTCAGAGTGAACAAATTAAAAACGATCATAACTTTTAGGTAGGTATATCACTTATTACTAATTTTACATAAATAATTTATTTAATTATAATTTAACTCACCGCGATTTTGTGATCAAATATTTTATTTTCTCCAACATTATTACAGAAATAATGCAATACAGAGTTTGTTCGCGATATGCTAGCCTAAGTCGATTCATCACTTAAAAAAATCCCCATCTATTCACAAAATACCTATTTACAACGCATACGTTACACTCTTCAAAACTTATCATTTCATTTCATATTTCTTAAATTACCTATACCTACCCTAAAATTAAACTTCAATTAACAAATACTACGCAGGTACCAATTCTATGAACAACTATAAACAATTCACCTAAACATTACGAGAAAACAAAAGCATTCAAAACAATACCTAATCTCCCGGCTGATTACTAATTATGCAATAAACAATCCTAAATAAAAAATATTTAAAAAACATGTAGTTTTTTGTAACACTTATGTACATATCCGTAGTAAACTTCCAAATAATATCCTACATATTTTAAAAGCCAGCACAATGTACTGGGTGATCGCTTTTTTGTAACCACCTAAACATGGTCGGGTTACCACGGTCTTGCACCTTCTAATGACTTTTATTTAATTATCTCGTAAATTATTATATGTACTACGCTGAAATTTTACAGGTAGACAACTGAACTAAACAACTAATTATTGGCATAACATTCAGTTTATATATCCACACACAGGTTTATCGGTGGCCAAAAAAGGCCGCACACATTGTGATCGTGAACGTGGAGAGCTACATTTCATCATAACTTTTTAGTCACTTACAGTATTCTTACGAAAATTCGTATACATTTGAAGGTAGTTACAAGCAATAGAATAACGTTTCAAGTAAGTCTTTAGAGGTCTTATTTAAAGTGTTAGGACGTATTGAAGTGTTTTCATACTTACCTAAATAATTTTTAAACGGTCCATTATTTTTATTATTTTATTGTCGAACAAATTAAAACTAATCCTTAATAAGTTATGTACAAAAGATGGTTACAATCCGCTTACCCGTTTCAGAGATCCAGCAAACCCACAAACGTTACTCCAGCAGGATTTCGAATAACTTCGCAACCGAAGAAAATACAAATACCAAATAAGTTGTAACATTTACCTAGTCCAGATAACTAATTATTTAGCTAAAATTTATTTCAATATTACAATTAAAAAAGAAAATGTCTGGCTGCGGTAACGTTTCAAACGTTACTCCAGCAGGAAATGTTTTTTTGAAATAACTAAAAAAGTTTAAGTGAAACAAATTTAAAAATGTGCTTAACAATTACAGAAGGGGAGCAACTAATTATCTATAAAGTTTAAATGACCATTTTCGACATTATTTTGCTGGGGTAACGCACACCCTTTACGCTTCTATTCAAACGCATCAGTTTGAATTATTTGACGTTTCGACCAGGTTTGCACTGGTCATAGTTACAGGCGGATGCCGCGCGCCCGTAATATTTATTAACTAGCTGAGACCCGCGGTGTTACCCGCGTTTGTTGTTATAACCGCAGGCAACGCCGCGGGGCGAAGCGAAGCTAAAAAAAGTAGCCTAAGTTACTCCTTATGTCATCAGCTATCTGCCAGTGAAAGTCCCGTCGAAATCGGTCCAGCCGTTCCAGAGATTACCCGGAACAAACAGACAGACAGATAGACAGACAGACAAAAATTGTAAAAAATGTTATTTTGGCATATGTACCGTGTAAACATACATATGCATTTAGTAAAAAGCTGTTATTTTAATATTACAAACAGACACTCCAATTTTATTTATTTGTATAGATGTAGATAACATTACTTCCGTTTCATAACTAATAATTACATACCAAGGCAAATCTAACTAGTTCATAATTTGAACATTGGTTTAATGTGTCGAAAAAAATTTAGTTTCTTCAATTTTGTATTTTAATTAAACTGATCAGTACTTGAAAATGTTCATTTGAGCATGAATTAAAATATTCTTTATAATAGTAATTTTAATACTAAATATATTTTAACTGTTTAGACTACTTTAAAATAAATTGATATATTTGGTGAAGCTAAAAGTCTAGCTAGATTAATAATTTCACGGTAACATAAACAAAAAAAATGAATAAATTTTAAAACGCAGCTAAAACTTCAAATTATTTAATTATTAATACGATTTCATTTGCAGTATCAGTATAATGTTATTTTTATACATAATTAGGAATATTATTTTACTGTACATACCTTGTACTCCACTTTTGTCTAGAAAATTACTAAGTTGAAATGTTGAATTACTCGATGCTAGATATTGTGTGAACCTCTGCAAAGTGAAAATAAGACATGTTAGTATGTTATATAAACTGATTTTAAAGATTTGTTTTGTGGTGTAGAGGGCAGATGGGTCACCTTTTTTTTTTCCGCGGTGGCATGTCGGACTCGAACCGACTAAAACCGCACGCCGTCTCGGGTACTAATAGCCTGGGAACTAGGTATACCCTAGAAAGGAAGTCCCTGGTGCCCCGACATACCTCGGGCCATCTACAACAACAGGTAGACGACCCCCCCGTGTGGGAACCCCATGTTCCCTCTGCTCCCTGTAAGCGAGCGCGCTTCGCAATGCGCTCGCCGCAACCCCGGCCTGCTTCTGCTAGGGTGACAAATGGCCTCACCTGTCACCCCCAGGCCTGCGCTTATGGAGGACGGAGGTCGTTCTGCGACCTCCAGCGCCTGAGTCGCCCGCGGTACCTGGCCCGTTCCCGGGCCTGGCGGGCCGGGAGAGTCCTAAACCTCTCCCGGTCCCGCTCTGCCGTCTTCGGCAGACGGGTCACCTGATGGCAACTCAAGAGACAAATGCGTTGTCTTCCTTTGAAGGCTGATGAATTAGGGCTCGAAGGCCCAAATCCGGCCGCGGGTTTAGGTCTTCGGGCAATTGAAACAAGTTTTACAAAATTTAGATTAATTTTTTACACTAACAAACATTCTGATTTGCGTAATTAAGATTTGAGTAAATGATTTTAAGTACAAAGGTGGAAAGGGGGCAAATACCAAAGGACCTTTACTTCGCTGCTCTAACATTTTATTCCGAACGAGGTAACCGTAACTTCGCTCGCGTGGAATTTGAAAAGCGCTGCCTTTGAAAAAGTGGATTCGATTCCCAAACCGGGCAAAATTTTTTAAGGGTTTTTCTGAGAAAAATTGCTTAAGTTACTCCTTATATACCTAGTAGTAAAATATTATCGAAATCAGTACAGCCGTTTAGAAGATTACCAGGAACAAACAGACAGACAAAAAACTGGTTTTTAGGCATAGGTATCGTGCAAATAACCGTGTAAGCATGAAAAAACCTACAAACAGACTGTCATTACTGTCATTACAAACAGACATTTCAATTTTATTTATTTGTATAGATAAAGTTGCTCTTTGAAAAACATGAAATTTTAGGACACTCCACCGAGTGCAACCAATTCAAGTAAAAATGAGTCACGTTGAGACTCACTCGTCGTTATAGTATTTTATTATTTACTCTTTTTTTGCGCGGAAATCCCCTTGGGTACCACCCACCGGACTAGAACCGACCTAAAAACGTACGTCGTCTCGAGTACTAGTTGCCGGGGAACCAGGTGTACTCTAGGAAGGAAATCCCTGATACTTTATTAGTTACACTTTGTAAAACAGGCGCCATACCTCTTAACGACTTTTTACGACAAACCGAAAACCGTCTTTGACAAGTTCTAGATTAAGAAAATGTTTAATTCATTGTCGCTACTATCAGTATCGCCGATTTTATACTCTGACAAAGAAGCATTTTCAGAACACCAGTTACAATTGTAATTTAAGTATATAAATAATTAAAGAATGTAGTCCATTTTTAAAGACTTTTACTTTAAAACTTCAATATTGAATCTCTGTATTGTCAGAATACTAATAAAACATTACATCTATTCCAAACATAATACCTAATCTTTTATCATGTTAATATTGTCGTAAGTAGAGAACATAAAAAAACGTAAAAACATGTGAATATAACCCGTGAATATTCGTTTCACATGTAAAAAATTAAATTGTTTTGCCGTTTTTTAATACTGACAACACTAGTCGTTCTCCGGCGGGTACACCCGCGTATATGGTCACCGCTGCGCCCATAAAGCTTTTAACGTGATGTTACATACCCTATAACTTTTCTCAATATGTATTCTATTGAACACAAAATTACCACACCCATTTCATCCCCTGGGTGTCGTAAAAGCAGGAAGGGAACACACTACGCAGGACAAGAGCACTGCAAAGGGAAAGAAAACTTGACGACACAAACCCTATACCAACCCGTCTGCCCACCTTGGTATACTAGGCCAAAACCTCCATTCTAAGGAGAGGCCTCAGTGGCTTATTAAAGATTGTTGAAGTGATCCGACTACTGGTTGAATTACAAAGGATTTTTGTTTTTTTGTGGTATAAGGGGGCAAACGAGCAGACGGGTCACCTCATAGTTGGCAACTAGCGCCGCCCATCGACACCTGCAACTCAAAAGTCACAAGTGCGTTGCTGCCCTTGGAGTCCCTCCCGCTCTAGTCAGCAGGAGGGGGGGGGGGGATCTGGGCTCTGGTAACCTCACTCACTCAGTGAATGGCAACGAAAGAATTGCTTAACACCGGTTTTCTGTGAGGCCGTGGTATCACTCCGGTCGAGCCGGCCCATTCGTGTCGAAGCATGGCTCTCCCACGGTAATTTATGCCCAAACAGTGCACAAAAGATCATGCCCAACACACAATTATTGGTCCTGGGTGTGAATCTAACCCACAACCTCCAGCTTAGCAGTCAGGGTCACTATCCACTGGACCAACATGCCAGTCATGAGAGCTGATCGCATTTAAACGAACAATCAAACTCACCAGCTTCTCTGTATTAGTAAATAGCTTAGTATAAATTGTAAGGAACATCAGTCTAGACACCAATCAACACTACAAGATATATTTATATTCTTAGACAAATAATATCCGACGATAGGTTCGTGTCACACATTTTTGTACGGAACAAAAATAGATATGTTCCAGAAACAATTTTTAGGTCGTATACAAGATGGCGTTGTCTAAACACAGGCAGCCTTTGAGTCTTCCTGGTTTGGTGTTAAAGTTACAAAGTGATAAGACAGCATCAAAGAGTGAATGTTGGTTGATAAATATTTGTATTTGTACATTATTTTTAGTAGTAGTTTTACATCTATAGGTTGGCGAACAAGCACACGGTGCGCCTGATGGTAAGCAGTTATTGATGCTCATACAATAACCAACTGTGCATTTATCAAAATAAACAGGCGACTTCGATAGTATTACAAATCTGTTGTGCTGTTACTACTCCAATTTCCACAATTCGGTAATTGTTTTCGTTAGCGATATCTTGAAGGTGAGTGAACCAATATTGATGATTATTGTTTATTAGCACGACGTGAGGCGAGATCATTGTTTCATAAAGGTTAATTAACCACACAGTTTATTTAGGTACATACATGATGTTTGTTAATATATAAAAAATGACACCAAAATGAAAAATCATGTCATCAGTCAACAAGGCATAGAGACATGACGATATGTTAAGTTTCAGAAGACGACGAAGAGAAAAAGAGAGGGGGGGCGAGATAAAGAGGGAGAGGGAGAGAAAATGAGGTAATGAGAAAGAGAGAGAGAGATATAGAGCGGGGGGGGGGGGTCCCGGTCTTGAGCAGTCTGGATCTACAAAATTGTATACAGTGTACAAAATTATTCATAGTATCGTAAGGTATCTGTGGGTATTTAATTGTTCTTGGTCTGAAACAGACAAGCTTAAATGTTGAGTCATCTCTGACACTGAGTCTGGTTCTGATCCAGTGCAACATTTTATTCATATTCTATGCTACAATTGATATTTGTGACGATTGTATGTCGAAGTTGGGATCGAGGGGGTGGGAGACCGATAAATGAAAACTTGAAAAGTCAGAACAACTAAAAAGCACCATACAACATTCCCATTAGAACGTTTTTTTCAACGAAACTGGCACTTTAAAACTTATTCCGTATGCACAAGTATTATATTCGAAGATAACCCTCAAAGCCCCCTGTTTATTGTGTTCTCTATATATGGTAGTGATCTGTGTAATAGTTCTATTCACAATATAAATAGCTTAAAGTGGACTCGGCAATTTCCCAATAACGTACATGATCGCAATAGAACATTATGAAGGACAAAATTTGGCAGTTACAGTTGGTCAAAACTATACTATTAAATTCATGTTTCCATACTTATAAATATGAAAGCATGAATATGAAGGCCCCTCTTTCCCACTGGGCACTCTGGGCCCAGGGCCCTTCGATTGATAGAGGCCTCCTAATTCCTACCTACCTAATTCCATAATCGATATTTATTACCGAAAACCATATTTAAAAAAAACAGCAAAAATGGGTGATTTTAATACCTTTTTTGGCTATTCAAACAGTATAGTAATCAGTCAAGGTCGTAGGGGCCTCATTATCGCAATGTGCCCAAGCCCTCCGAGAGGCTAAAGACGGCCCTGTATAAAAGTGAGTTTGTGTGTTACGATTTCACGCCTAAACCACTAAATCGATTTTAAATATATTTCAACAATGGAAAGCTACATTATCAGCGAGTAACATAGGCTACTTTTTACCACGATAACCGACATACTCGCGCGAGAAGCCACGGGCATAAACTAGTAAATATATAAAGTATCGTCGAATGGCTAATATATAATTTCTTTTTTTTAGGGGAGACAATTACCTGATTTAGTTTTAACTATCTGAGACAGGCGGTGTTACCCGCGTTTGTTGTTATAACCGCGGGCAACGCCGCGGGGTGAAGCTAGTCTTAAAAAAAGTTACTAAAAACCTAAATTACTCCTTATGTCATCAGCTATCTGCCAGTGAAAGTCCCGTCGAAATCGGTCCAGCCGTTCCAGAGATTACCCGGAACAAACAGACAGACAGACAGACAGACAGACAGACAGACAAAAATTGTAAAAAATGTTATTTTGGCATATGTACCGTGTTAACATACTTATGCATTTAGTAAAAAGCGGTTATTTTAATATTACAAACAGACACTCCAATTTTATTTATTTGTATAGATAGATTAATACTACGTACGAAATATTATAAACACAAAAAAACTTGAATGACCTTTAGACATGAACCGAGCAGGTCAAGGTTTAAATGTCACAAGGTCTGTTGATTTGCAACACTCAAAATAATGATAGTAACGAACGTCGTGATGAGTTAAACTCAAAACCACTACAATCATTTACTGTCTTATTACTTTCGTCTTTTACCAAAA